AGAACCACTTGAATCCATAGTGCAGGATGATTCCATATTCGGCAGTGAAGATCTGTCATCATGGTACTGTGATCTGTGCATCTACTTTATGTTCAAACTTTCCCCGTATGTTTCGATTATTCCCCTTAAGCGGCTCTGTAACTTCCGTAATTCAAACACTTTCACATCTATCTATATAGTCAATTCTCGCGATCCCATTGTTCGGGGTAGCTCTGCCAAAGATTCTGCACACACTCATTTGACATCAGGGTAAACTGTTATTTAGGTATTCATTATTTATCTAATGAATGTGAATGTCTTATATGAAACGGAAAATCGTTATCAGCACTTCACATAATTTTTCTGTTTATGCAAGTGAATATGTTACATATATAGAGTTGAAGGTGACGGCGATGTTAAGATCTAAATTTGAGCACTGTGCGCTTGACATGAGAAAGACCAATGCTGGTGGCTGGCATAATGCAACCGCTCTATTAATTCGCTTCTATTAGTTCTTTTCACCCTCCTGAAAATGCTGACCGTTTGAAGCAACGACCCACAAGGGCCTAGGATCAAATAGCTCACTCAGTGTCCTTTACCGAAAAAACCGAACGATTAGTAGACGCAAGCGGGCACAACAAAGGACGAAACCGTGGACCATACGATCGACTAAGAGAACGTAATAGGTCGATTACTGAGTCAACCAGTTGCAAAGGTCATGCCGAAATTTCACGCACCTAGGGAAAGAGTTTTATTAATTCACCACTTACTTTGTTCCTAATCAATCAATTGATTGGAACTACTCGATCCCTGACTGTATCTTTGCACTTGCCTCTTGAGGCATCTCTCATCATTTGAAGAATAGAGCTCATTCTGATCAACAGGGTGGATGTATAAATATGAAATTGAGAAAACGAGTTTTCCCAATGCTATTGTGGAATTGTCAAACTTTTGAAAAATGAAACTCATTCGTTTTAACCAGTCTGTTGGACATCCGTCTATAATCTCAAGAGTTTCAAGTATGTAATTTGTAGAGTCTTCAACGTGATCGTATACCAAGGACAGCAATTCTGTTTGACCTTGTATGCCACTGGCAGACCTCAGACCCGAGCGGCTTTGAGTCAAAACCATTCATTCTTGTATCTTTTCATTGCGAAACGTTAGCTTGTAATATTCAGTTGCGAAGTCGATGAAATGTAGGTGACCTTTACTCAGGAGGAAACCCGTTTCACGTGATATCCCTGGTTGAGATTGTATAGGTCGAATTTGTTCGCCTATGTGACTGAGGGTATATGTTTGTGTGAGTGTGGGAGGAGGGGGGGGGCTGGTATGTGAAGAGAACGTACGCGTGAGGTCAAATCAAGCAGGGTCAGTATCAATGATACTTGCTAATTGTTTAGTCTTAGTTTTATTCTTGTCTCTCATCAATGAGTGAACTAAAGTTGAAATCTTGCATCGCACATCAAGAAACACAGCTTTATCATTCTCCTTTTTGGATTCCATTTTTCGTTGATAATTTTATTGGGCTCATATTGTTCCCACATTATGAACCTACGTGCACGTATAACCAGCAAGTAAGAATAAACTCAGACGAAAATAAAATTGTTATTCAAAGATAGATGAACGCGCATCAGTAGTGCGGTACTCACATGTGGTTCTTGCGAAAAAGTGATCAGCACTCAGAAATAAATACGTAGGCGGTTTACAAAATGTGCCTAACCCTACTGAGTTCGTTGTTTTATCCTAGAGCCCAAACTAATCAAGGCGGTGCAATGAAAGTAGCTTGTTCCCTATTCTATTTGCATAATTTAAATAAAACAAAATTTCGATTCATAGAATAATGGGATAAATTTATCCAGTAGAGTGTAACCGAGTGTAACCAATTGTCCCACGTCATTTTTTCTGGTAACTGCGAATGTTGAATCCGTGTCAGTATCCACTGCTGAAAATAGTTCTAGTCACTCAGATTCACCTCATTTAGGTACCCCAGTCGCCTTGGGTATTGCTCCGTTCATTCCCACGGATAACCATTCGAAGTTGTTGAATTTTGAGCCTTGTGACTGGTAAACAACCCAACCTATGTGGAGGAATCGCAGTGGGTGAAGTGTTCGCGATGTGAGACCCACGGGTTTGTTCCTTTTAATATTCTTCCTTCTCAGGAGGGAACCTCATAGTATCACATTATGTTCGTTGATAAGTGAAGAACTTGAAAAGTATTACATGAAATTTTTAATTGATCATTGAATTTTCATAAGTTTAAGACGTAGCATGAATATTCAACTCATATGAGTTTGAATGAAATTCACAGATTTTGAACGATATCTTACATTTCTTTTGTGAACACTTGGAAGTATTTGGTGAACAACAGAGATAAGCGTGTTTGTTTTATAATCCCCCAGTGAAATAACAATAATGTATTGAACTACAGAAAATCTAATATATTCGCATAAAAATGTCTTTCTACTGCCTTTTTTATTTATTAATTATACAAATGTACAGTCAACTTTCAGGAAGGGGGCTGCGGCCATACAGAGGCTGCCTAATTGGACTGTGCGAATAATCAGATCTCCGCAGTGATTATTACTAAACTGTTTGAAATATGAATTTCATGAGTTGTCCAATCATCGTTGTGTGATGTGCCACTGATTTAGTGTTACCTATAAAATTCACTATATTCAAACGGTAAAATTTGCCACTCTGTGGTTTATGTAACAACTCCGACAACCCTGCCCAGGTATCACCTTGATCGATTTTTCTCGGCAACATTTCATATACTTTAAGCCGTTCGAGAAAGTTGAACAGGAACTTTATTTATCAAAAAAGTGAATATGGATCATAAACAGGGTTTTAATGAAAAAACTAGTGCAATGGTATCTATGGATTCTTCGAAACATATTGTTCATCCAACATGCGATTCACTTATGTATGGACTTGTGTGTATAAAAAGATCCATAACCACGTTGCTATTCTAACCCAAGTGGGGGACTCCTTAGAACAACGCACATCGAATGAGCAACCGTTAGGCTATTGGAATACAAGCAAAACTTCGATAATGTCGAACCGAATAAATTAAACCAAGCACAACTATCATCCCACAATTTTTGAATGTATACATTTGAGGTTCACCCTCAATTTCCCATAAGATGCAGAAGGTCAACTGACTTTCCACAAATGCTTGTAATTTTCATATTTAATACAAGAGGACCAAGTTAACATTTGCACCTTAGAGAAAATGAGAAAATACTGTATTCTTTACATGATGACTACTGAAGTGATCAAAATAAAACTAGTTTTTGTAGCTCATCACACAGCTGGTAACAAACAGGGAATGAATTGTGCACTTATACGTCAACTATTTTTGGGAGTAGTAGTAATAGTAATAATTATAATTGTGGGATAATTTTAAATTATTCGGAGAATAATATTGCAGTCAGGTGTGTTGGGGGTAACTAACCTCTGACCGGCAAGGGTAAAATATGTTATTAAGGTCTCTGACATATGCTTAGCCGACAAAAGGGCTTTCCATTCTATGAGGGAAAATAATCAAGTAATATTAGGATCCCACCTTTCATGCAGAATCGGTCAAATATGCTCCACATGCTAATTTGGTCTATTTGTTGTACTTTTCTTAAGTACAATGATTTGCATTGATCTTTGTTCATCGTCTGCCAGGTGTCTTTCTCACGCATTTTACCCACACGGCGTTTTATTGATTTTTGTCCAACACGAGAAATGTACTTGCTTGTTATCCCACTGTGCCGTATTTCTTTGGCCAGTTGATTTGAACCCAAATTAAATGTCCGCTCCGTTCATCATCTCACTCTGGTCTTTGTGACAGAACCGGCCAGTGCACATCAGCGAGAGATCTTCATTACCGATCTACGGTGTTCGGTGATCCCTGTGCCTAAGTACTGCTTAAATGATACTATCTGCTAATTCCGATTGGTGACCATTTCACGAATGCTGCTGCTCAACGTTGATTCCGATAACACCTATTTTGATCGAAGGTATACAGTTTATCTCCTCTCTTGCTTAAATATCACTGAAAGTTGAGTGGTCATCGGTCAGGTGCGTGGTGGGAATGACTCGCTTGAACCATGGGGCGAGTGCTGTTGCTATTCAGGCATGATTGTTAAAAATAATGAAAGTGCTTTAATGGCAGTACAACAGATACAGTACAACAGAGGTTCAGCGCAAGTTTTGGGCTGAAGCCAGTTGGGACGACATCCCTCAATGATGAAAGTGAATTGACAGCCCTGATCCGACATATCTTTCCACGATTGGGCAAGCTAATGCGGAGACTTTCGGCGATGACCACGTACTTGCTTTCGTTCCCTACGTTAATATACATCGGAAACAGAAGAGGAGCTATCTTCGTGACTAAGGTGCACTGGGGTTCGGAATTGTTTTCACCTTCATCTTGGCGTTTACGATTCCAATAAATATGTAAGCGATATATTTTCAGAGAAATGAAAATTAGTACTCATAGGTGAGCTGTTTTACCTTTAAGTTTTTTAAAATGTGCAATGGAAATGGGTGTGATGGATAACAAAGAGCACTGGACACCATCTAGATTTTCAAAATGTCTTTTTAATTCCTTTTTTGATATGGAGGTGAACTGATCCGAACGGTGTGGTGAATGTGGTGGAGGAAGGGAGAGGGAAGGTCATGTCACATCATGGTACGGTTGGATGGTATGAAGTGTGATTTCGTCACCACCACGGCAACAACGGTTGCGTCACAAAGTGTTTTGAACACATAATTGCGGCTTTGAGTGATGAATAATTATCGAGAACAAAACACGAAATAGAGAAAAAGCTCGTTTTCGATAACTTCCTCATCTGGTTAATACAGTTACATAAATAGGTAAAAGGCATATCACATTTGCATAACGTTTGACGTGTGTGCGGATTGGATTGGTAGATATAATTAGTTGTTTATGTGTGGCTTACGAACAAAAATGGAGTGGTGGGTGGATGGAAAAGGGACGCATCACACGACGGATTAGGGCCGAGTCAAGGTTAGTCACCACCGGTTTGGGGTACGGTGTCAATCGCAAGGGTCAAGGGGTCATGGAAAGAGTCAGCTCCGATCATGCAACTGAATTCACTTCGTGGCCATGGCAGTTGAAGTGCTTCAACGAATCGTTTTTGGGAACAAAGTGATGGGTTAAACAGACGGATGGCTACTGCCTCAGCTGTTGCTAAATGTTGTTGGTGAACAGCCTTAGATGGATAAGGAGGAACCCCGTTGATCACCTTGAAAGCATCTTCATCCACAGTATGTCCCGTATTGGCAAGGTGTTCGACAATGGCACTTGTCATGGTTTTTCTATCTCCAGTAGACAACCAGGCTGGTTTATGTTCCTTGATTCTCTAGGAGAACTGCCTGGTGGTTCTACCTATGTAGCTTGCCGAACATGAGTAGACAAATGAGTAGGTAATCATAGAAAAGGTAGAAATAGGCAGTTCCTCTTTGAGATTCATGGAAATAATTGGTCGGCTGGTGAACTGAAGGCGTAAACGTGCCGCGGGAAATGTGCATGCGAATGCTCTTTCCAAGCGTTGGATGATTAGCTTACTTTTGTGTCGCATGTATAGGTCTTTCTTATTCACTGTTGTTATAGGAGGTCCCTTGGGTGTCTCAGATAGATTTTTCTGAATGAACCGTTTCGGGTAACCATTGGATACAAGTGTTAATTTTATATTCTCAAGTTCTTGTGGTAAGCTTTCTTCTGAGCAAATATATCTTGCATGGGCTACGAGGGAACGGAAAAGGTTCCGTTTCCGTTTCAGTGGTACGAAGCTTGCGAAGTGGATATATTGCCCGGTCCATATAAGCTTGTGATAAACACGTCTGTTCAGATAATTATCATTAATTCGTTTGAGATTCACATCAAGAAAGTGGAAGATATCTTCTGATTCCACTTCTGATGTAGAAGTAATAGCTTCGTGTGCCTCAATGAATTTTCTCAATAGCATTTCCAACGAGGTTCTCTCATGTATCAAGAAGAAAATGTCATCTACATAACGACAATAAAAAGGCAGACTATCTATAGTTGTTCTGAGTCCATCGTTTTCCAGTTTGGCCATGAAGATATCAGCCATTAGGAGTCCCAGTGGAGAACCCATCGCTTCTCCGTCGGTCTGACGATAGATTTCATTGTTGAAAGAGAACTGAACGTTGAATGTGCAACGGAGTAATAGTTCCTTTAAGCTAGTCAATGGAATACCAATGTTGATTTCGTTTTCCCCTAAATACTCGCATAGGTATGAAATCGTCTCCAAAAGTGGCATATTAGTGAATAACGAAGTGACATCGAACGAGGCTATCCTCATTACATTTATGTTCTTTTCCCTCATAAGCTCTACGAACTGGAACGTGTCTTTTATACTAAAACGTGAAATGCGTCGGGGGACCACTTTGTATTGTGTACATATTTTTCTCGCCCTGTGGAACAACATTCTTGTGTTCACTTGGTAAGAAACTTTTGAAGTGAAGGTACTGCCCGGACCGAGTCTTCGTGCAGAAGATAGATCGTTGCATAGAACCGTCACTTTTACAGGTTATTAGGGTATACGAAATGAATTCCGCCCGCAATGTTTGTTTTCTGACTTACCTGTTTAAATTCATTACGGGATCCACATGTTTCAGATATTGAATTATTGGTTCACTATACGCATGTATTGTTTGGGTATCTAAAGGGCCTCCAGTTTCGAGGATGTGTAAAAGAATCATTATATGTGTAGTTCTTATAGCGGTGATGGAACACGTTCACTCATTATGCATAGTAGTATAGAAACTTTGTCCATGGGAGACCTGTTTTTTTTCATGTTCTCCCTCCTGGAAATGTAAGTAAATCAACCTTGTTATCGAGCGTGGGCGTCATATTGATGGTTATTTCAAAACTGAGTACAAAACAAGCAGCGGGGCACTCCGACCATGATAGGAATATGACTCAACCTGAAGGGGCGCATCATCCTCTGGTCTTTAGTGGAATTCTTCAAGAGTGGTGAGATCACTCGTGATTCACTACTTGGTGTAGGCTTTTCGATAACCATTTGATGCTCCCGTGTCCAGTATCGATGCAGCAGACACCACGGCAAAATTATTCACTAGAGCATAAAAACACAGGGCAGGTTGTTACATTTAATCAGCGTAGATTTTAATGTTGATTGAACTGGTATGAAAACCATGTTTCACCTACTGATCGGAGGGTATCATACTTAGAGACGAGAATGATTTTAATATCGTTGGATTGGATATTTTCCGTCAGTTGATATCAAGAAGAAAGAAATCTCGTTTATTGGATGAACTAAATATAAAAAGTCTTGTGATGTCCGGACTGCGTTCTCTGTAGTGGGGTCTAAGTTATTTGCTTATCTAGAACAGTAACTGATAGCCTGGAAAAAGATACTTGAAAATATCTTCGCTATTCATCACAAGGAAGACAGATGGAATAGCGGTTTTCACACCACATAACCTCGCTCTCCACACACCATAGATTACAAAAGCTCGGATTATTCTTCGGGAGACTCCTTTAGAGCCATGATTTCTATCTGTTTGGGAGCCTCAGAAGACCTTTGTCAGATAGGTTGTTCAAATTCACGAGGTCTTTAGGTTTTTGTATTTGCTGAGTTTGGTTTTGAGAACAGAGCGCTACAATGTTGGCATCGCATTCCGTGTAACGTTGGTCGACGGCATGTGAAAACATTTCTTCGAAGCGCGGGGCCAAACGAAACGGTTAATGACCTATTGAGGTCAACTGGTTTGTATCAGTAGCTCAGTGACACTATATTTCTCTTCGTGGAGACGTAATTCACAATTTTTTATAAGAAGTAGCCATGCTGAGCATAGCACAAAGAATTGCCGCAGCGTATTTTTATTTTAGAAAACGGATTCTTAAACTTGAGTGAAATTATAATTTGGAAGCACACACTGAATATCACTGTCAAATTCATTCCGTCTGCGCGCTCTGGTGAACGTGACACGTAGTAGCATCCACGAATCCCAAACACTTTGATTTATCTTCAACCAATGCTGGCATGCACGTGTCGTTGGAGTCGGCAGTTGCAATCCAGTAATCCAGTCGAGTAGTTCATTGTTTGATGGACTGATTACTGGTCGTCATTTGAGTCATTTGTGGTATTCAATGGAATATTGTAATATAGCCGCAAATGATTTACAGCAATGTGTTCACTCGTGACCCACGTGAAACCTGTGAGTGTCAAACAGGAAGAGTGTTAAGGTGAAAAGAAAACCGGACATTGATATTATTAAACGTGTTGTTCTAAGGTAGAAGGAAGTATAAAGGTAAGCGATTTGAGCAATTCAAACGTACGTTGAAAAGAATCAACCAGGAGGTCATGCTTCGCTTTTAAATTCTCGAAAGCCTTCGTTGAACTATTCAGAATAAACTAAGTTGTAATAATGGGCACTCGGATTGGTAGATAGAATAGACCGACGTGAATCGACCGTGTACAACAATGAATAATGTGAGTCGGACAATTCGTTCGAATGACAGCCGACTGAATCGGTGAAATTTAAAACAATTAAAACTTTTTTCAAGTGTGCATTAACCAAAGGTTTCGTTTTAAATGAAGAAAAAAGCACTAGGTTTGTTGTGAAATTGAACGGGAATATAGTTTTAATGAGGAAAAAGTAAGTTTAAAAATGGCCCAATTGCTGAATTTACCTATCCGGAAAATCCTGATGTATTTTCACTTCAGTACCTTATTTATTTCGATAGGTTTACCTGTCAAGTATATCACCACGACGGTTACAAGTGCCAATTTACAGTCGTTTTATTCTCGCTGTAACTCATCAGCAGTGGCACTGTTTTGTCCTTCACGAGACTCAAGTGGCGAAATTTCGAGTTGACGGTTGACGATTATCAGCTTGAGCATAGGGAATTATTTATCTTTGATATTACAGCAACATCAACTTCTGCGAGTTCAACCGGACTCCGATATACTCGAGCGGAAACCTATCATCACACTGAAGTTATTTGTTAAATTCGCTCAAGCCAAGTGAATGATCTTACCCTGTAGGGATAAGACGTATGTGTTGAAAGTGGTTAAAAATTTCGTTCTACGTTTTGAACTAATCCTTATTTTATATCATTGCGAACTACGACCAGTCAAAGTGGCTATGTATTCGCTGGCTTCAGGCTGTCGGAAAGTTTGATGAGGATTGCCTTTGGTGCATATATTTTCTGCGGCTGGCAAACGCCTTAGGAATGTTTACTAAAGATACAACTAGGCAGCCAACATGCCTCTTCAATGATGGTGATAAAGTTATCTTGTTTGCTATCTTAAGCCTGTTCTGAGACGGCATTCTAATCTTGACAACACAGCCGCGGTTTGGGAAACAGCATCTCCACTATTGTCAGCATGAATACTGAGCACATCTCACGGGGAACTTATCTATATAATTTCAGGTATATCAGCCCTGACCTGTATTTAAGGTGTAATTTTGAAAATACAGCAATGCTGGTACAGATGAAAATAAGCCGAAATAAGCCGAAAAAGTTTAGATGTCTTACATTCCATATTGATCTCTGATGCATCTTTAATAGAACGTTGTTTATTAACCCCACATGAAATCACTGATGGTGTAGAACTACGCCTCACTTCCACACATTTTACGTTCAAATACATTGTACAAACAGACTGATGGTGTTGCGATGGGTTCTCATGTATCATCAATTGTTGCCAATCATTTATGCACTCTATAGAAGCAAACGCCCTCATTGCACTTAGGAACCCTCCGAGTCTAAACATCAGATACGTCTATGATACTTTCTTCGTCACCAAATCAGATCAAACGACAGATTTTCGTCATTGCCTGAACAATCAGTGTAACTCGATAGGATTCAATACAGGAACAGAGAATTCAGAGAGAATAATCAACTTTCTTGATTTTCGTGTGAAAATCAGTGAATCTCATGCATTTCAAACAGGCGTTCATAGAAAACCAACCCACTCAGACAGATAATTGAATTTTGATTCGGCACATCCACAATGCATAAAACGTTCACTTATCTCGTCACTAGCAAACAGGGTTGGAAACCTCTAGAAAAAGGAGGCAACAGGCAAAGAAGAAATATGACGCTTAAAATGGGTACTCCAGGATAACAACTACCCACAGCGGTTTGTACGACACGAGGTTACCAAACCTAAAACAACAACGGAAAGCAAGGGTCTAACAGACTGGTTGGCATCCACTGGTATACCCTACAGATCGGGGACATCTGAGGCAATCAGAAATATCCTCGGTAGTTACAACATCGGGATTTTCTTCCGAATTGACAACACACTTCAACACAAGCTGTCCTAGGTCAAAGATCCAATTCAGATGCAGGACCAAAGTAACTGCATTTACAAGATCAGTTGCAAGGATTACCTGGCACAATACATTGGACAAGCATGCAGACAGCTTACAGTAAGAATCACCGAACATTACAGAAAAGAAAAATTGAGACCAACTAATGCTACGCAGCTCAACAAACTCGAACGAGATTCGGTAATCGCACTTCATGCCATTGCCGAGGGACGTCGTACCGACTATGAAAACACGAAAATTCTCCAATGGGGTTTTCGAACAAACACCGAGCACCTATACGCCGAGGCTTTGGCAATTAGTGCCCATCCTTGGGTGTGTAAGCCGAAACGACGGGGCAGGGGTTTCGAGCATCCGGACAGCGTTAACGTCACTTGCCAGCAGTCGTCCTAACACTGATTTGACCTCAGATAACCCCGATCCCACAGACAAACATTGCACAAAGGGATGCGCCCAACGCCCGATCCGGATCGGTGACTTTCACACAGAGACGTTTACAAACTCACATGCAAACGCACATACACACATACTTACAGTGCATGAGAGTTTAGTTGGCAAGCTACTCCCGACTCATTCGATTGTAAACTCGCCTTGGTAAAGGTTATCCACGGTAACCGAAACGTCGGCTTATTTTCACCTGCACCGACATCGGTGTTTTCAAAATTACAACGTATATAAAATATATCACATGGCGCGTGGATTTTACGATACACTCCGAACGTCGTTCGAATCTGGCACTCCGATCTGACCTATCCTTAGGTAGAAATAGGATTTACAATGAGTTGCTTTGCTTGATGAGTTATTCGGTCGGTGGGAATGAGTTGGGTCCAACTCTGATGCAATGAATTACGCAAACATCCACGCCTAATTGTTGCGGCCATTTCGACTCGCTTCCTTACCCGACCGACCGAGGTCAATTACCATCAGGCTCGTTTGTTCTCTTATAAGACTCCTTGGACGAACGGCCAAGGGCATAACGTTACCGGACGAGAGGGAGGATGAGCGGGTAGACCCAACTACACCGAAATCTTCATCTCTAATCGGCTACTCATTCTGAACGTACTTTTGCTTGTTTACGCAGGAATCAGCTCATTTTGACTGGGAGGGGTTTGAGAGACCTTTTATAGTAGGTAACGTGGGACGACCAATTTATCAACCATCCTACGGGACTCCAGAGAATGCGGTTGGTGGATTCAAGTGGAGTTGCGACGGATTCACTTGAGTTTGAGCTGATATAGTTTGATGCCGATTTTAATGATTGATTTTAAGGTCCTCATGCCTACGGACTTCACTGCTATAGTTCATTACACTCAGTTGTTGCAAAGACTTACGATCGTTGTGTATCTTTCCATCTAGGCAAGCATAGTTATTCGCGCTTTCAGGATAAACATAACGGTAGTGTGTCGCGTAGCTCAAGGGTATCGTATTCGGTTCCTACATTGAAGAAGAGCTCAAATTAGGGCAATGCGTTGGTCTGGTGCTCTCTGTCAATCATCACAATAATCTGTGCCGTGATTATAAATGCTTCCCACTATTCTATAAAAAAACTGGATCCATGGATACGGGCCAGTGTCTGTTGCCTGCACCTTTTGCTGATAAGTACTGTGAAAGTAAGCTTTTTGTTTAAAAATGATATAATTTCTCTAGATGAAATAATTCACTATAGCTACCTCATAAACTTTGTGAAGCACATTCAAACAATACAGAAGCATTTGTTGGGCCAGTATACTGGCTGATATTTGAGAAGATTAGAACGTTTCCCGAAAGAAAGAGATAAATCCGTCTGAATGACTTCTTCAAATTTCATTTCTTTGGAATTGACCCAGATGATATCTTCAATTCAGTACACCATTATACGTTATAGTATAAGAGTTGCCAAAGATCATTAAATACGTGAAGTGCATAAACTGGACATCTCGCAGCCTAACGGCTTAAGCTGTGGGAGAAAAGGAAAGCACTGCCAGCTAGTAAGTTTTAAAACGTTTTGTTCATTCTATTGAATGAATAGATGAAGTAACAAATTTTATTAGATAACCTTTGGTCAGTAGAACACTGCCAGGGAACATGAATGAACTGACTTAAAAAAATAACCTGTCGTATTAGCTTTATATCACATTTATTTGTTTTCATTTAGATGTTTAATGTTTTCAATGTTTAACGTTTTCTTTACTGTAACTTATTGAAATTGCTGAAAATCCACCCTACTGGGTGTATAAAGCTTAACTTGACTTGGCTTTTGTCAATAAAGCTCGGGTTTTAATTAGGAGATAATCTAGTGATCATGGCTGAATGGGACATGCGAGGATTTAAGCCTGGTTTTTTACTAGAAAGAACAGAATTGAAGGTTTTCGTGGGTCAGTTTCCTACTGCAGAATTGACTGATTAGTTTCAAGATCTATTGACGTCCAGTCAGTGGTGACAAAAAGAGACGAGCTTTGGGACAGAGAATTCCAAATCTTCATATGCCACTTTCAAGTACAATTTAATTAAAGTGATTGAAAAGAAAGTTTAGTGTGGTCAGACATCTCTAACCAATTTAACTGAAGTTATGCACAGAACCGAGAAACATTTTGACAAGGCCAGAAAGATGCTTAAGAATCATGTCACAATAAATAAGTGCGACAGGTCGTGAAAATAAACGACCATGTGGAAATATGACAGTGAAGTTTGGTTCAACGAAGCAACCTACTGCGCACGAAGATCCGCGAAAATTATTGTTCGACACGTATTATTACAAATGCTGTCTGTTTTATGCGTTCTCGTTGACTCATCTTCTATCCCACCGCTAACAGTCATACTACCACTGGAAACACTAAATGCTTCTTTATTTTTAGGGTATCAAGCTTGGATTAGCCCGTTCGATTGTTCAGAGGCATCAGGCGCACTTGATGGTCAAGATACTCTAAAATTGATTCAGTCATTCATACAACGTGATGACCGTCGACCGTGTAGCTCGGGGTGAGAGTTTGAAATCTCGACCCGAAGTTTCGCGATTCGAGTCCTGACAGGGACACAACATATACGCACTACTGACGAGTCCAAAACAGGACGACACACTTGTCCAATTGTTCATAAACGGAACTGTTAATGAACGGATAAATTTTTCACTCTCTCTCTCTATGTGTAAGGGGGGAAGGAGTACGAGTTGTAAAAATGGAAGTAGCGTGACCCTGTAGCAGTCATCCTATTTGGATTTGAAATTATAAGTAGTAACAGAGAAATTGTGAAATACCGGTAACTGTGATCCGCTGTCATATCTATGAACAATGAGTTAACGGAACTTGTGACGTTCGAACAGGAATTGACCGAAGCAGAGCATTATACACTCTCAGGCACTTTGTTTTACAGCAACTTTCCATTTATTGGCTTGAGATGGAATTCCTGGAAAACATTAATCTGTCCATGGTTGACTTTTGACAAACCATCGGAATGAAATGCACAGCTATAAAAAATTAGCTTGTTTAGACTATCGAGGGTTGCACGTCTGTCCGAGTGTGCGGGTTTGCGCAAAATGGCTCTTAAACAGATGCACCGGGGTTTTAGTTGATTTCGGGAATCATTATAAGAATGTTGGTAAAATTGTAACTTCCTGATTCGAACGAAGTGATAAACAGAAATGACACCTTCGCGTTTCTCCTTCGAAAAAACGTGGGGGAAGCGATGTTGTGGGAAAAAAGTGAAGCTATCTATCAATAAGTTAGTCGTCATCAATAGGATTTGGCAATTTACTGTTTAAAAGCTACTGTTCGTGGTTGGCGAGCTACATTGAATAATGTGGTTTTCGGTTATGCCCAGTTTTGGAATTGTTTAAACATAGCATATCATGAGTTGTGTATAATTTGTAAGGGTTTTGGATCTTGTGTAACGAACGAAAGACAGCTCGATTTCGTGTACCTGAGGGAGTGGAAGTGAAGTGCGCAGTGTATTATCGCAAGTGTGGACAATTAAGAAGCGTAGATTCAGGCGCTTTTCTTGTAGGTAATGATCGCGACTACTTGCGTCACGTTCGAACAAAGACGTTATGCTCTGACAGGAAAACACTGGGTTCGCTTCATTCATTGAATCACGGTTGAGCTTAGAGGGGCACGCATTTTGATTGCGTTCTTTGGTCGACGTGTAATCCAATTTGCTGCATATAAATCGAGGTAGGTATGTAGTATTTGTACCTTATGAAGTTGGCCACTAATTCAATGGAATAAATCGACCATGAACCCATTCCAAACTGATGACTAATTTGCATCTGCACGCAATATCAAAAGTGCAAGTTTTCAAAACTCTCGAGAGACGAGCTCTACGTTCCGTCTAAAAAACCAGCTGCCTCTGCGAACAGTTATACGTTGTCAGTAAGAATGGACGTTGAACTCAGTTCGTATGAGAGTGAATATCCAAATCGTTTTCACAATGGATGACTTAATTCACAATGACTACAAAGGTGTTTACAAAATGCGCATAATAACAATAACAACAACAGTTCAAACGGTTTAGTTGAGTTCATCAAATGTTTTGTGAAAACCACCACCACCACCACCACCACCACCACCACCACCACCACCACCACCACCACCACCACCACCACCACCACCACCA